GACATTATCTTTTCCTACCTAGATGTTTCACTAGGAATTCAGGAACAGAGCTGTGGGACGGGAAGACGCCTTTCCTAGCTTGCTAGCGGAGGAAGATAACCAAATGGAAGATCATGTAGTTGTTTATTTGCGTCAGGTAATGATATCAGGTAGGACGACAGGAACGAAGAAAAAAGAGCAGGGCCTAAGAAAATGAAACCAATTACTCCTGCTGGAAAGTCTCCGCACCAGCACCCTCCTGGCCCTCGGCGGCCTGCTGCTCGGCAAGGCGCTGCTGCTCGGCAGCCTGCTGAGCGGCGATAGCCTTGGCACCGTAGTCCTGGCTCATGGGCTGGAGGACGGGCTGCTCCTCCTTGGGCTCGATGATGGTGACGGAGTCGGGGAGGGTCTTCTGGGGGCCGGCCTTGCCCTCGGGGTCGGAACCGCGCATGATCTTAACCTTGATACCAAGGACACCCTGGCGGAGGAGAACGTGACGGGTGGCGCTGTCGATGAAGTCCTTAGCGGGCTGACCGGAGTGGATCATGAATCCGTCCTATAGCCAGATCTATGTCAGCAATGCTGTTGATTTCCCTTCCCTTGGTAAAACCGCAACATATTATCCCTCTCTTCACACCGCCCTTCTTCGCCGACAAAAACACGATTCCACGAAATATGCGAGAGAACGTACAGTGAACTTCATGGACTTGGCACGGGCAGCACGGAGCTTTCCGGAAACGACAACCTCGCAACCCTTGGCACCGCTCTCCATGATGAAACGGAGAACACCGTAGCAAGCACGACGGACGGCAAGACCGTTGAGGAGCTTGTAACGGAGGGACTCGCACTGAGCGACGGCGGAGAGACCGCGGTTCTGGACCTTGGCGGCATAGAGGGAGACGGAGTTCTCGGGGAACTTGAAGCGCTTCTGGATGAGGGAGGTGAGCTCGCGGATGCGGCGGCCCTGCTCACCGAGAACCTCCTGGGTGTGGGTGGCACGGATGACTGCAGAGAAAAAGAGCATCCGTTAGCATTCGAGTCTGATCCTCTTCCGACAATTTTGCACCAGTAAACATCCAATTCATTCCACCTCTTTCATTTTGTATTCCTTATAAAACTTTGTTTTCCCTTCCATTGTTCATCGCTCAATTCATTTCGACCTCCCGCAAAACAAGTTCAAAAAAAAAAAAAAAAATAGCAATGGAATCTCAATCGGGCGACGTACTGATATCGGTGACGGTGGGAGTGACACGGACTTCAACGCCAGAGTAGCCCTCCTCAGCCAGCTCGCGCTGGAAGAACTCGTTCAACTCGGCATAGAAGACACCGTCGGCGACGAACTTGCGGCGCTTCGAAATAGCTCCCTGGACAGCAGCCATGATTGCGTTTCTGTTGGGTGGATGAAGTTGTCGAAGAAACGGCCGAGGACGTGGTTGCGGAGCACCAAAGTTGGGATGTCGTTCAAAGGCGAAAATAGTCGGCTGCCGCTCGATCAGTTTTGAACAGTCGGCCTTTAGTGGGGTTTCTGCCCGTTTAGGGTTTCCCCTTCCCAATTCTGTGATAGGGTTAACCCTGGGCCGTCGCTTGTGCCCCTTCCCTTTTTGGACCTAGCCTGCCAAGTCTGTTCCGTGGCCTCAGGCACTTTTTCTTATGGGTCCTGCACTCGAACCTTAACCACTTTAGGCAATAAGCTCTCCATACCTAGTAGTACCTAGTATCTACCTCTACTAGTACGTACTGAGTACTACCAAGTCAGTCTCAGTGAAACACTTTCCATCTCGCTATGCTCATATTGCTGACAAGTCCAGCGCAAATCTGGAAATCATGGGTTTACCGCCCCCCTTGCTGTATCTCTCTACTCATGTACCGAGAACAACGGAAGATTTGAAGAGCAAACAATTGACAAGCCAAGCACACAATCATGCACATATTCATAAGCAGGGATGCATGCCCATGGCATCCGGACCGATACCTAGACAGCACCTGTAGATACACTATTCATCAATATGCCCTGAAACCCAACATTATTTTTTAACTCGTTCATTGCATCTCAACTTCAAGCTGCCCCATACTTTTGGGGTCTTGCCCGTTCTCCTTGGGCTTGGAGAAAGCCAAACTCGAGATCCCCGACGTGACGGCTGCCATGCCCGCCGAGGCAGCATTGTGAGCCCCTTTCATACCGGTGCTACTGGTGACAGGATCCTGGGCTATCTCAATGCCAGTCAGCACCGGTGATCGTTCCGCATCAATGTTCTCGCGTCGCGCAGGGGGAGATCCAGTCGAACGAAAGCCGTTCATTTCCGCATCCGTTCGACCAAATGCCTCAGCCCACCACCTGACTTCACTGAGCCGGGGGAATATGAGGCGTTCTTTCCCACGCTTATGATCGTCAATATGGGGGTCGTATTTCGCGTTGAGAAATTGCTCTCTCCGGGCGAGGAAATAATCCCACACACTCCGGGTGCGCTCCTTCGCTTTCGACTCCACACGCTCTTTTTCACTGTTATAGAGAAAGGTGCCGTACTGGCACGAATAAAGATGATATAGCAGCCGGCGTAAAAACCGCTCGTTAAATTCGAATCGTGTCGGGTATTGGTACAGCAGTTGATAGGTTGCATCGAGGAATTGATGGAACACCGGACTAGTCTCTTTCACCTTCGTCATCTCCTTTTCGGGGGTAACCGATCTTGGAGCGGAACTGAGTTTCTTAGGACCAGGAGTATCTGAATCGTAGCTTTGCATTTCTCCATCGGACTCGGGAAGAGAGTCACGACTTGTGTTATCTCGGTTGAAGAACCCTTTGGCACTAAGGAATGCATTTTCGATGGCTTTGCCCGCACCGCCAGCCTCCCCGAAGCCACGACTGGAGTCACCTCCGATCCTTTCATTTTCTATCTGGAACCACTTTTCACTGTTCAAGTGTCCAGAACGGTGCCGAAACATGTGCCCAAAGGAAAGCCAGTCTTTCTCCACCAGCACCATGAAGCCCTCCATCGTACGATAATAAGGGTCAAGACATATCTGACTTAAAGCACTAAGCTGTCCGGTCCGATCCCACCCATCCGAGCAATGTATCAATACATGCGAGTGTTGAAGGCCAACTTGGCGGGCAATCAAGCCCGCGCCGTCTAAAATTCCAGTAATATGCTTTAACCACCCACTGCGTGCAAGCTGGTCTCTATTTGGTCCTAGCGGGGTGACATCTGAGTCCTTCAAGGCATCAATCACCTTATTCAAGGAATCCCTCATAACGTGAATGTTGTCAATTCCGAGATACGCTTTGGTTGCAAACTTATAATTGTCCATATTTTCCGAGCCGAGGCCAACAGCCTGCATCGCAAATGCATTTACCGTCGGCCGTGCATCGACAATCAAGTTGTGCTGTTGAGCACCATATACCTGATGCTTGCCATCCGAGTCCCCGTAGAATGAAGTTAACAGCTCATCCTCCAAGTCTTCCGTCCTGGTAAAATCAGTCACGGTCTCATCATTTGCATCGCCTTGCGTTGAACTAGAAGATTCTCGATCTAAATGCGCTGGGTTGAAATTTGCTAGCGGTCTCTCAGAGCGAGAGGTCGAGAAAATCGCAGCTAATAACTTTTCGTCCTGAATGCTTCGATTTTGACGCACACCCACCAGGGGTTGTGAGCTTCTTGTGATCGAGCAGTTATTAACGGGATGAAGATACGTCAACACGGGCACTCTAGCCCTAGACCGATATCGCCCCGCATAGTTCAGCGTATTATCAGAAATAGACGACGGAACCGGCAAGAGAGCAGGATAAGTCGGGGAGAACTAGGAAATTCGTTCATGTTAACCACATTATCAAACCCGCCACACTAGTAGGTTATTACCGTATAGTCCGAATTTATGCGAGAGATACGCCAGCCATGGTTATCCCGGTCTACCCCCTGCCTTGCCCATTCTTTCAATGGGTCATATAACTCCCAACTGTTGAGCTCCCGCTCGGGAGGTGGTGGCTGGTAAGTGAAAGCGTAGAGTTTTTCGATCCGCCCCACTTTGCATGTCCACTGCCTTATACTCTCATAAACATCACGGCCTCTCGTCTCGCTGGCGAAATAGAAACAAACGAATGCAAAGTCACGGCAACGCAGACGGATCGACGATGGTTGACGGGAAGCAGCCGGAGCGGGGCGGAAGGTACAGAAAGATATAATAGGATAAGTGATCCAAAGCTCTCTTGGTCTAATCGGCGTAGCAGAAGGTTGCGCACTGTCCGGCAGCGACGGTATATGGGAGAAGATGATATGATGAGGGGTGAGGTGGAGGGTGCCAACAACCTGTTCACCACGACGCGCCAAGGTCACATCGTCAACCTGCAATCACGGATGAGGAGAATGTCAGGAGATCTCGAAACTTGAAGCATAAGCGGCGGTCAGCAAACCTTAGCGACCCGTGTTCTCTCCATGTCTTTGTTGTTTGCTATATCCGCATAAGCTTCATGACTGGGCGTCGTCGAGGGGAACAAATTGGCACTGGGTGCTGTACAGGCGGGGGCGCCTGTAGTCGACAAGTTGCTTTTGGCTTGGGGAAAATTCAATGAGGTCAAATAAGAAGGTGGAAACCAAGGAAAGGTAGGGTTTTGGCACGAACGTTGCGGGACCCTTGGGAAAGTGACAATTCAATCCATTTGGGCCAACGGGACGGATTCGGGACTCGACAATGCGGAGCCCCTCGCCTAGTGACCTTTTACGTCAAGGCCTAACCTTAATCAATATAAATTAGCCCCATCATCCAATTTATAGTGCCTTATATTTAGGCCACTCTCTCTAGATCCAGCCTTTTCACGTTCTATTTTCACACCATATGCTTTCTTCTTTCCTTGATCTTTTGTCATGGAATTGTCGAGATGAATATATATGATGTATTTATCTGTGACGAATTTCCGCCTTTCGGCATTATCATGATAACTAGGGATGAAGGGATGGACACCCACAATACCCATGCTTGGCATCATTTCAAAACAGCTACGCATTGTCAAGCCTATTAAAATGAAACAACTACAGCCATGATACAGAGGCACCTTGTGCAGATCCAGCGAGATCCCAAAACATTTCGAATAGTGCTGCACTCCACTCGCAACCAGTACCCCCACTCGGCAATTCAGCAACACTCGAGACTGCCTCTTCTACTGGTTGAGTTGCGGATGTCGCAGTCGCCGCGTTGACCAATGTACCCATGGGGAATGGTTGCTCAGCGGTAAGAATGGACTCGGTTGTCTGAACCATTGCCACGGGCGATGGGTGTGCGTGAGCAGCAGCTTCCGCGTTAGACGACTGATCATTCCCGGTGCTTGTTGTCTGTTGGGCTCCGGAGGATGAATCTCCGTATACTCTGACCGCAGGTCCTATAGCACGTCGTTCAGGTGTTTTGTAATGATCCGGTTGCGTCTCCCGTGGCAATTGAGGGATGTTCTGCCTTCTACCCCGTGTGATAACAGCTTGGTATCGAAGCTTTTCAATGAGCCTCCAGCGGCGATCATGATAGATATCTGATTCACTTTTCCAGTGGTGGTAGATCTCGTCAACCGTTTTCCAAACAGCATCAGACTGCTCCTCTGGAGGTGCTATACAGAGATGGAGCAGGAGATAAGCCAGCGAGTCCCATTCGACATAGGTCTGGAAAAGCCAGAGCCATCTTTTGCCCTTCTCGTAATTTCGCAGCATTTGGGCGCGCCGTAGGACTTCCTCACAGGCCCTCCTGTAATTCGTCTGCATAAGCATGGCCGGGGCCTGATCCCTCCGTAGCCTGCATACTGCCAATTTCAATTTCACCAAAATCAAACGAATGGAGGCAGCGGTGATAAAGTCAAGTGGAACTTCTTTGTCGCAAAACGACAAGTATCGTTTCTCTATACGCTCCTTGAATTGCTCTATTGCCTCACACTTCTGTGCCTCATTCATGACTGGGTAAGTGTTCATGCGGCAGAACCTGTCTGAAAATGTCACTCTTCGCGCAAAATGGCTCCCTTCAAACCGGACCAGCGTAAAGGTCATCTCGGTTTTTCCAAGCTGACTTTGAGGCAGTTCGCTCATGTCGGGTTCCAGGCTAGTGTCGTTGATGTTCAACGGTAATTCAGTATTGAAGGTAGATTCGAGGATGGTCGGTTCAGAGCCATGGTCCTCTGCCGTTCGGACATCCAAAGTGCATATCTGCCACCAAAGCCGGCGACGCATTTCTGCCTCGAAGGGGGATAGACCTAGACCAGCTCCGTCGCAATGGAGACCAGTCTTCATGGCAGTTCCAATGGCAACGCCTATAAGCGTGCATACGTCGGGTCCATTCTCGTCCCTTCTGCCGCAGATCTAGATACTATTCTTAAGGTCCGTTTTGTTTCAAATATGGGTGTATAACTACCAGATAGAGAGCAAATGCTTGCAGAACCGTCAAATCCAGGGACGTGAGGAAGTTCGCTCGTGACAGAGCCTGCTCGACTCCCGTTCGATACCTTACTCAGTCAGCGAAGGCGTCTTCCCATGAGAAACATACGTACCGCGTCAGTATTACGGCTTTGTCCTCATCAAACTCCTCACGACACTCTTCTGCCGACATGGTCACTACGGTAGAGTAATAAATTGCAAATATCAAGCATTCTGTGGGGGCATCGAGGTTAAATCGGCCTCGAATGACACTCATTACCTGCCTTTGCACGGTCGGGACATGGAAAACTTTTAGCACGGGATCTACCACATCCAGGTAGGTCTGCCAGATGAATGCGATTACAGCTGGAGAAGGATGAAGGGTTTCTAGCGGGGTTGAAGGGTCCGGCCTCAAAGGGAAAGACTGCCAAAGTTGCCCATCGTTGGGTGAAGTAGAATGAGAAGCACCAGACCAGCCGGAGCTACCCCGATCTTGTCCGATTTCCTACTCCTGTCTTAGTAACTAGCTTACCGGTTATGGTCTGTCTGCAGTTCACTTTGAAGGACGAAAGACAAGCTTACAGGCCTCAACTGATCTTGTTCCTGACTGGACAATGAAGGATTCATATGCAGGAGCTGTGTGATATGCGCTAGACTCCTTTCCAGGGACTGGAACTTGGATTCAATGCTTTCCACCCGGGCCACAAGGTCACTGTCCACGGAATGGTCGGCATTTACACCTGTTTTAGGTTGAGGGTATGCGCACTGTATATGCGTCCGGACACAGTATGCACAGGGCAAGGATCGGTCGCATTTGATCTTGCGCCGGCGGCACTCAAGACAGGACCGTCCCGACGCAATCACCCGGCGGGGCATGTTGGTTGAAGCTAAGTAGAATAGTGCCTTGCGAGTTTGGAATTTCACATTTCTACCCTCTTTCACTCTTGATAAGCGCCACACCCGTAGACTAGTCCGAACTAGAACAAGGCTGTTATTTTGGATTCTTACACATGGTAGAATCCTTGCACACTGGGTATCATATAATTTACGGAGAGTATGAGCCGGCCTAGACATCCCAGAACTTGACAGTTAGATTTTGTTTGACAAGAGCTGCATATAGTAGGATAATGAAATTCTTCTCCACAAGTACCCATCCCAAGACTAGGAGACCTCAGGGTCAGCATAAATCGTGTTTAGCTCCTCTACTGGCGTGACATCTTCAACAAACGTAGCGCCATACTCTCTCATGATCTGTATCTTCTCCTCCATATTCATTGCGAAACTTATTCTCCCAAAATCCCGTGGCAGTTGCTCGACACTTTTAAATCGTAATACCCATACACCCACTCCGTCCGTCGGCCAACCGTACACGATTACCTTCTCTTCTTCCTCGGTGATCTCTCTCAGGCCCATCTGCGTATCGAACCAGTCCTCCCTACTCGGCCAGAACGTCGCACCAGTCCGTCGCAGAAGGTTACAGAACCTGTCTTCGTCGTCGACACTGGGTGAGCGCTGCGATACATGAGAGCGCGGGAGCGACAGGAAAAGCATGTCGAGAAGATCAGCCTTTTTGATGAGAACCCCGCCAGTGGACGGGTAGCCGTAGACTGTACATCCCCCGATACCGAAGACAGTCCGTTCAGTCGTCGATAGAGGAGGGTTTACTGGCCATGAGCAGACCCAGTCCTGTGGGTTGTCTATCAATGTTCGTTGATGAAAAAAGAGTAGGGAAACGGTCCACGTTGATGGGAAGTAAGCGGCCCACGGTTTGTTGGCAGAGAGTTGATAGAAAGTTGAGGGTCATGGCAACGGCCATACTACCAAACCTCATGTTTCAATCAACAGAGCAAGCGGACCGGACATCATGATTGAATCCAACGATGGCGTAGTCCGGACGGACGCCGCTCCGATTGGCTGCAGCGGAGGAGCGGAGGACAAAGTCCGCATCTATGTAAGCATCCCATCCATTTGTCATCGAACTGAATAGCTTGCTGATTCTTAGTACGCAGTATACTGGCCATGTCGATTGAAAAGTAGTCCCCTCACCGAAGTGCTCTCCCTCCTACATATAAAGATGCCGTCCTCGTCACATCGTCAGCTGTTCTCAATCCACAAAGCAGAGACATCGCCACAAATTGTCCGTGACTCTCTTCAATTCCCAGTTATTGACTTGCTTAAAGCTCAATTCTTCCCTCATATTCTTTACAATGGCCGGATATAAGAATATTGTCCTCGTTGGTGTATGTAAATTCCCACCTTTGCACTGCACCACCATACTCACACTTCCAATTAGGCCAGCGGTGCTATTGGCAAGATCATCCTTGATGGCCTCATTGCATCTTTCAGCTTTAACATTACCGTCTTGTCTCGCAAGGAAAGTAAGGCTAGCTTTCCCGCCGGTATCACTGTCCACAAGAGCGATTTCTCAGATGCCGATCTTGAGGCTGCCTTCAAGGGCCAGGACGCCGTCATCTCAGCAGTAGGTGCCACGGCATTTGGCGAGCAGAAGAAGGTTGTCGATGCTGCAATTCGGTCTGGCGTTCTACGGTTCATCCCTTCTGAGTTCTCCTCCAACAGCCAGAACGAGGCTGTCTTGAAATTGGCACCCTTCTTTGGCCAGAAGAAGGAGCTCATCGAGTACTTAAGGACTAAGCAATCCGATGGCCTGTCGTGGACTGCCATCGCAACTTCAGGATTGCTTGATTGGGTAAGTAACTTGTTTACTCTACTTTCTCTTCCGGGAAATCTGACTCATTCGGTTAATTAGGGCCTTGAAAATGGCTTCCTTGAATTTAACGTCGCAAACCGTACTGCAACCATCTGGGACGGTGGTAACCAGAGCTTCACCCTTACCAATGAGAAGCAGCTTGGGCAAGCAGTGGTTTCAGTGCTACAACACCCCCAGGAGACCAGGAACAAATACCTCTACATTGCCTCTGTCGAAACCACTCAGAACGAGATCCTGGCTGCACTGGAAGAAGCAACGGGTGCTAAATGGTCCGTGAAAGCAACCACCACCGAGGATCAGGTTGATGAAGGATTTAAGAAACTCGGCGCTGGCGACTTCAGTGGTGCATTCCAACTAGTCCGAGCCACCTGTTATGGCAACACCCCTGGCCTGCAGGCGAATTATGCCAAAGACGTGACCCTGGCCAATGATGTGCTGGGGTTGAAGTTGGAATCAGTTCGGGATACTGTCAAGTGTGTTGTTGCATGATCTAGAGGCTCAATTAACTGTTTTCAAGGCATGTTTATCATACTTGAATGCTCAAGGATCTAAAACCCAAGGATTGTCTGTCGATGAATTGAATGTCACAAGTACTCTAGAAGTAACGTGATATACATACATACATACATACATATAGATATATTTGGCGGGTCTTCGTACTAAGTCTCGAAGCGTCTGTGGCGTAATGTTTCAGAGTCCTTGGTTACATAAATTCCTATGAAAAAGACTATAAAACTTAATGTTGAACCTATACTAACTATGCAGATCAGATTGTGTTGTTACTGCGTAGTCAGCTCAAAGCTGTTCATAGCTCCGAGATGACATCACTGATATATCCACCCTTTCCAAATGCGTCACATTCCTTGAAAATGTACTCACAGCTTGGAACATCAATCGATCCTGCGATACAGAGTCCAGAAGCGATCTGCTGCCCGTGATGGACTGCCTCTTTCAATAGATACTGCCAGCTAGTTCCACGCGTCCTTGACGGCCATTGAACACCCGTGTTGCGTCCTATAATCCTCCCAACACATCAGTCTCAGTGTTGCTTCCCATGCATTTAGAATTAGTCGCTGTATGGTTCTGCATCAACAGTCTCACATCTTCGGGGACGAATATTACCTACAAAAAATTGTCGTAGTAGCCAAGCATCCGTCAAGCTGCTGCAGGACTATGACTGACTCAAACTATGCACCACCAACTGCGGAGGACATATTTCGCTACCGATATCAGCATGGTACCAATCTAGGCTCTATGTTTGTGCATGGGCCTTGGTTAAGTGATGGAGCATCCAGTAGTGACTCCGGAAGCTCCAAGGAGCTCGAAGAGGTAAAAAGGTCGGCGCGCATAGGGAGACACCCCTTCTTTGCTGGCTTCGTTGCTGATACAATTTCACGTATACAGGTCGCTCAAGGCTTGCGGACTCGAGGAAACCCGCTTGAAATGGGAAGCACACTGGCGGACTTCCCTGACCGACTTTGACATCATATGGCTCAAAGATGTGGCACGGTGCAATTCAATACGAATCCCGATAGGCTTTTTTACCCTTGGGCCAGTCTTCTGTACGGGGACAGATTTCGAAGGCGCCGCATCGGAGGTGTACGTTAATTGCTGGAATATCCTGAAACGTCTCATCGAGAAATGCTACCACCATGGTATCGGAGTCCTCATTGATTTTCAGATCATTCCAGGTAGTATGGACCGGAACAGCCACAGTGAGATTGGGATTGCTGACTTCTGCGCGAGTGAGCGCAGTTGGACGATGGCCACGGACTGCGTCACTTTTATTGTCCAAGAAGTTACGTATCATGCGATGGCTGGGGTGATCGGAGTTCAAATATCTAGCGAAACGGACTGGAAAACCTGCGATCTTCGGAAATGGTACGATGAAGTTCTCGAAATCACGAGCTGTGTCAACCCATCCCTACCCATCTACATCAGTGACGGTGGAAATTTCGCCGAGGCGTTGGACTATGCTTTGAGGAAAAACAGACTTGAGAGCCCTGTAGCCAGGAGTCCGATTATCGTGGATACCCACAAGTATTACACGACGGGATCATATCAGCACATGGACCCCAGGGCTATCATCTCACGGCTTCACAGCGAGCTCTCTGAACTTTCAACTCGTCAAGGCAAAGTAGGCTCTCATCGAACTGCAGTCGATGCCTACATCGGACAATACAGCTGCGCGATGGATGCACAAACCTGGGCCCGCGTGGATGCGGCCGAGAGGCCGGCCTTAACCAAGACCTTCGGTCAAGAACAGAGCAAACAGTGGGAGTCCAAGACATGCGGATCCGCCTTCGTGGGCTATAAAATACACCGGATAACCGGTGATGAGTGGGACTTTGAGCGGCAAGTCAGTACTGATGCTATACCGCCTCCTTCATGGCTCGCCATTCCCCGAGCACAAGTTATCAGTAAAATTGCACAGGCTGAGACCCAGCGATTGCAGTCCCGAGAGTCTGCTTTATCGCAACACTCGGACTCACCGAATACTCGCGAGCACCAACAGTATGCCCTCGGCTGGGACCTTGGATTCAATGATGCGTTGAACTTCTTCGGTGCATTATCACGAGACGTTCTTACTGGCGGCTGGAACGGAGGAGAGAAAATCGGGGCAGTGGAGCTGTGGGTACGAAAACGATTCGCTGACACCGGAAAGTTGAATGAGGACTTTGCTGAGGAATGGGAGAATGGCTTCAGGAAGGGCGTCAGCGATTTCTACGACTTAGTCGGTATCAATACCAACAGTGTTCATTGAGATACAGTAATGTGATGGATGCTACGATGCTGAATAAATTCATGCTCTTACCAATGTCGTGATCAACTGCATACTATCAATGTTCCTCGGGCGAACTTACTAGCAAGCCAAATTATTCGTGGATAGTAGCACTTTATACCCTCACTACTTGGACCATGAAAATGTGAACATACTACTACCTACGATTGGACAATTCTATTGAGGTGTAATAAAATGCCTATGAGACCACAATACCCAGACACTACACCAGGCTACATGACATTCAATGCAATACTTGAGGGAGAGGGTATAACGGTATTTACATTCTTCAAAGATTATTATAACAAGAGTACAACGGCCCACGTGGAAAAGAAAAATCTAAGTAATATACATATACATATAGCGATCACATCATCCATCTCACATCGCACGACCGGATTTATCCAAGTCAAACGCCAAAGAGCAGGCCGCTTTATAGAAAGAACTAAACTCTCGCTGGACAGGTTCCTGGGAGTCAGCATTCTGTTCCGACGAGCCAGCCACATCCATATCCAAGAAGATATCCGTCGTACGATGAGAACTAAAAGGCCCACTCTCGTAGAAAGAGTAGTTAAGTCTGTGGCCCTCATAATCATATTGATGGAGACGCGTGCCTCGGAAATCGTTGACAGGCAGATACATGTACTCCGCCGTAGTGAAGCCATCGGGATCGCGTTCTTCGCCCGTCTCAACCAAGAGATGATTGGGGATTGAGAGCTGAGAAAAGGCCGGAAGAGGAGTCTCGCCCTCGTAGATCACCGCTTTGGAGAAGAAGTCCCGCAGGGAGTCCTGGAGTGGTACCAGGGGACCGTCCTCGCCGAAGCTGTCCAGTACATCGTGGGTTAACTGTCGGGTGAAGCGGAGATCGAGGCTGCATTCGGGGAGGAGGTAGTCGACGCTGCTTTGGGATAGGATTGCTTTGGCGTTTTGCACGTTGTATTCGGACTCGAAGCCTCCTGGGGCTATGGCGATTTCGAGCTCGAGCTGGGGGAATATGTTTGCGTGGACTGCGGATGGGACTAGGCGGAGACGGTGTGGTTGGATTTCTTCCTCTGGGTAGTCTGCGGCGAGCTGGTGCAGGAACGGGATTACTCGGGGAATGTCGGTTGTGAAGGTCCGCGGAGGTGCCAGTTTGCCCAGTTGGGCGGCGGTGATGGCCTTTCCTTCGAACGGCTTGTGCTGGAAGAGACACCGGCCGACTGCTGCTGTTATGCTCTCGTGGGCTGCGGCGTTACCGATCTTGGTGCGAGCTCTTGCGCGCAGAAGTTTGAGGAGTTCGCCTGATAGGCGCGTTTCGTGTTGATTGAAGAATGGTGTGTCTGACATGCTTGATGAGATTGTTTGCGCCGATGGTACGGCCCAGCGGAACCATGTATTCTGTCGATCAAACCATGATACATTGAGTTCCGGGTTGATGTCGTAGGTGTCGACGGGCTCTGAGGCTGCCATGTAAGTGCCGAATGGTATCGGAGGCTGTGTGGCATCGTGAATTGCCAGATTCAGTGTCCTCCGAGCACTCTCTGCTTTCGGCTTGTTTTCGACAAGGTAGAACATCTTGGTTGGCGTAGTGGAGGTCAGGTCGAATGAGACACCGTAAGTCATGCTGACCCATGACAAGAAATCGGCAGTGAAAACACGGTTTTTGCCTTTTGGGATGGCCCCGGGAGGGTACAGTTCAAGATCCTCCTCTCGTATCCTGGTCGTGGCGTCGTATATGATGTCACGGATGAATTCACAAGAATGCAGCTTTCCAGTGATGCGAACAAGGCCAAGCGAATGGGTGATATCAATCTTCGCATCGTGAAGGCCAGCGAGTTCCTCGAAGGAAAAGTGTTCGGAGTGTAAAAATAACGACAGTGTATGGGCGGGCAGACGAATATCCAGCTGACCGACTTCGCCAATGAGCCCAAGGTGCCAGCAATCGCGGAGTATCCGCTCAGTGAGCAGATACTTGCCTCTGAGATCTAGCGAAGTGGCAACTCTTTTAGCGGCTCCCACCTGGGGGGCCGACTCCGTTTCATAAAACGCCGAAGTACCCGGCCTCCATTGTGCAAGTTTTGGTCCTCCATCAAGTACTAGTCCCTCTTCCGGCACAGCGCCGTCTGCCTTAAACTGCTCAATGTAGTCCGACAGTTGCTGGATTGTGAACGACGTCTGGACATCTGACCGAAGATTCTCCCAATCGGCAGTACTCAATTTATCTCCCGGACGATAAGGCGTGCGGAAACTTTCGATTCGCTCCGTAATTAGATCGCTATCGAGGATGTCTTCGGTGTTCTCTATATCATACAGCATAAACGGCAGTGCATCTTTCGTTTTTTCGTCGGTGTGCTCTTTCGAATCTTTCAAGTCGAGAAAGCGGCGACGTTTTGGATGCGGTACGACAACTACTTCACCAGGATTTCCCAAGGAAGACACATCGATCGGTACCTTGTCAAATTTCTCCCTTCTTGGTTTTGTCAGATGCTTTAACCTGCGTCTGTATCGGGGTGGTCGATATTCTGTGCTTTCTGTGCTTTCTGGGCTATCATTTTCTGGTTCGCCGCCGTCCGTATGCTGGGACCGGACAAAAACGTCGCGTAGTCGAAGGGCCGATGGTGACGAGCATTTCCTGCAGGAAGGGGTTATCGGGCAGCTCAGAAGCCCCGCGACACCTTTTGAAGAACGCGAAAGCATCTGGGACACCAAGGGGGGGGATGGCACTTTGTGAGTAACTTTTCGGCGAGCGAATGTTGAAGCTCTCAGCTTTCAAGCTTGGAGAATTGATTCTAGATTGGCACTAGCCTAAAAGTGGAATAGTCGGCGGATGGGGCACTTCCCAATCGGTGATAAGCTTCCGATCTCAATGTTTGATAGTGTATAAAAGATGAAATGCGACGGATTCCAGCCAAAAAGATATGGATATTATTTAGAAATATATAAGATTAAATACAATACTTGAAAAACATCTTCTGCCATCAATCCTTAACACCAATCTCCCAGCTCCTTAAATCCTCCCGAACATCAAACTCCGAGAGTTCGTGATCATTGCTGCGGTTCTTCCAAGCATTGCCCTTCGCAGTACCGTAAAGTTGATGTTCAATGCTGCTTCGCTTCCTGCTGTGGCCAACTCTCGAACTGAATTCCGGCAATTTACCGCCACTGCGGAACTGATTGCTAGAAGAGCTTTTCGGTCGTCTTTCAAAACTGGGTGACAGTCTATTTGCCGCCGTACTTTTCGTAGCTGCACCGGTGGATGGAAGACGGTCATCTTCCTTGGCCGCGGCCGATTGAAGACCATAGACTTCATTGCTCCAGCTAATGCTTCCCGAGAAAAGGTCCTCAACTAGCTTATCCGCAGGTGTGTCGTCAGAGCGAGAGTTACAAGAAGCAGCCAAAGTCCGGCGGTACATATCCTGCATGTCAGCAGTTTCCCTACTTTGCATGTTGATAGAGGGTAGTGGACCCAAATCGTCAGGATCGGTCTGTTCTGCAGAAACGATGCCTGTGATGCCACCGAAGACCATGGCCGATTTTAAAGGGGGCCTACCGCACGTCAGTCACCAAGTCAGAATGTATGGTTGTATCAACACACGTTGTAAAATTCCTATCACCATCCACTTGACGCATTGATACCCCAATCTTAAGAGTGCTGTTTACTTTGCTGTCCTGCATCAAGTATCTCCTCACGATACCCTCATCATCATCGCTCTTGTCCACATATTCAGCGAGGTTGAGTCTGATCCTTCCCAGGAAATTCTTAGTATCGCTGCCTCCTCCCGATTCAAATTCCTGTATGATTTCAAATTGTAGGTCGCATTCGTGCAAGCTCTGGTTCCGGTCGATAGTGAGTCGAACTGGCAAGGTCTTCTCGTAACTCCAGTATGCTCGGTGATCAATAATCACCGCCTTGTCTGTGTGCCCATGGTTTTCGGCACCGCTTGACGAAGGTAAGCGCCATTTGACAAATGCTGTGCCGTTCACGAGGGGGACATTGTTCAAATCGATTATCTTTAGCGGCCGTGGAGTCAGTATCGATATGAATTATCAAGACCAGGGGATTCGAGTAACTTACCCTTAAACCAAGCTCAAATCTGGGCTAAGAACACAGTCAATGATTTGAACGAACAGATTATGCCGCTTGACTCACCCTCCGATTCTTTGGAACTGAAGGGATTCCATACGTTAGCAGGAGGGTCCTATGAGGTCATGATGTCCCGACTGATAGGGGGACGGAGAATGCTCCGCAGATAGGACAAGGTCACGTAGGGGATGAGCATACCAAAAGCCTGCATGGTTGGCAAGGCTCAGTCCAGTGAGCACTATATAAGCATCTGTTCCTCAATTATTTCAATATCGTATAAGCTTCTCTCTGTTCCAGATGACAGTTCGCATTGCTTCCGGTTTCCCCACACTCCGCGCCAAGGCGGAGGCTATTGAAATACGTCCCGCAGAAACTGACCGCCTCGAGCGTCTTCCCGGCGCTGCGGAGGTAAAATCCATGAGTGAGCGCATCTTTTTAAGTACTCCAGTCAGCCTCCACGAGAACCGGCAGATATCACACCCATCTTAAGTCCAATTGAAAGTGCAAAATGAACCAGGAACCCCTATCCCCACCTTCAGAGCCCACGCCTTCCCCCACAACCAACCCGGTCCCCTTGGGCTCACCTCAGCGCACGACCCCAATACATCCTCTACTTCCCGAAGTCCGCGTCCCCGGCGAGCCGTTACCGCCGCACAAATACCACCCGGTTACTTGTATTCAAATTGATGCGGAATCTGAGGACATCCGCGCTCAGCTTGAGCAATTACGTCAAGAATACACATCGCCGGAAGCAGCTCTGAAAGCACAGGAACAGGCTGCCAGAGAAGTAAAACAGAAGATGGAGGACGCCGAGAGGAAACGCGAAGATGTTCAAAAAGCGATGGACAAGAAGATCAAGGAAAGAAACACCGAAATGAAAGTTCTGTCGAAATATCAAGAAGTGAAAGCGTCGGATATCCCAGCTTGAATAAAAGATGCAGGGGAGGTTGCCTTCAAGAAACCGCTCACAGAACATACCAAACGACTTGGGAGTTCTAAGACTGCGGCATTTCTCATCATATTGGGACGAGCCCGGCCGCCACGATGCTTGCTTCAAACTCGGTTATGAATTACCGTTTATTGTTCCGCTGACGGGCCTATTGTGGGTTTCGGTTTCCGTCTATCTACGCCTATTTCCCATCGACCTTGCCTCTTCAACGCTTTCTCAACTTTAACCACCTGATCCAAGAGCTTGGAAGAATAACCCCCTAGCAAGTAGCATGAGGAAATGCCCTTGCGCTGAGTCAGGGAGCTCTATAAGGGAGGGGAAGAAAGAAAGCCATTGGACTGTCCATTGGCTATGGTAGACATCGGTCTTACACGAATTGCGTGTTTCCTTCGAAATCATGCGTTTTGTTTTCGCCAAGGCACTCCTGCAAGCAAATCGAACCATCTCATGGGCATGGATTATAGTTTGGGCTATGGACGGATTCATATTAAAACATCACATCATTGTAATCGGGGCCGCTATATCTTGGCACCCGAAAGTATCACAAACATGAATCTTATCGACATAAGACGTGATAATATCCTCGCATTATTAAAAGTAAATTCGTTGTCCGTTAATCATAAGCCCTTATACTGTGGCTCTAGATTCTTCACAATGTACCCAGAATCTTCACCACGACAGGCAGTATCTAGAAAAGAAAGAGTCAGCGAACAGCTAGAAAACCATAGCTTAGGGCTGAACTTACCTCAGAAGCGTCTTCGATCAAAATCTGTGTTTCATTGACGAATTTCTTCGTCAACAAGTCGTTGGCGTTGCCGAGAAGGCCACCAACTTCGCCGAGTAGCTCTGGGGTAATAACAGGCGAGACACCGTCAATGAGGTCTCTCGTCTCATTGACAAACTTGGGGGTAAGGAGGTTCGTTCCGTTGCCGAGAAGGAAACCGACACCCTCCAGCAGGTCGGGGGTAATGACAGGTGCCACATTGCCGATCAGGCTCTTCGTTTCATCAATGAACTCGCTCGTCAGGAGCTTGCCAGCGTTATTGAGAAGACTACCGACTTGCGTGAGCAATTCAGGGGTAAGGACGGGCGAGATGCCATCAATCAAGCCCTTAGTCTCATTGACAAACTTCGGCGTCAAGAGAGAGTCGGCATTTGCAAGGAGACCACCAACAAGTCCCAGAAGCTCAGGGGTGATGACTGGTGCAATGCCGTCGATCAAATCGCTGGTCTCCTTGACAAACTTCTTAGTCAAGAGAGAGTTGGCATTGCCAATCAAAGTGTTGGTTTCGTCGACGAATCCATCGGTCAGCAAGTTGCCAGCACTGTTCAACAAGCTACCGACCTTCAAGAGCAGGTCAGGTGTCAATACAGGAGAGATCGTGTCAATCAAGCCTGTAGTCTCATTGACAAACGATGGAGTCAACAGGTTGTTGGCGTTGTCTAGCAGCGAGCTGATCTGTTTGAACAATTCAGGCTTCAGCAGAGGAGCGGCCTCCTTGAGCAGGTTCTTGACCAAGTCTACGAAGTCCTTAGTCAGCAGGCTGTTGGCATTATCCAGTAGCGAGCTGATTTCTTTGAAGAGTTCAGGTGTAAGTAGAGGGCCAAGCGAGTTGATCAAGTTCTTGATCTGCTTGACGAAGTCCGCAGTCAACAGATCGTTGGCATTGTTAAGGAGGCCGCTGATCTCCTTGAAGAGCTCAGGTGTAAGTAGAGGGCCAAGCGAGTTGATCAAGTTCTTGATCTGCTTGACGAAGTCCGCAGTCAACAGATCGTTGGCATTGTTAAGGAGGCCGCTGATCTCCTTGAAGAGCTCAGGAGTCAAGAGAGGACCCACTGCAGAGATCAAACCCTTGACCTCCTTAACGAAGTCCGCCGTCAACAGATCATTGGCATTATTAAGGAGGCCGCTGATTTCCTTGAAGAGTTCAGGAGTCAAGAGAGGACCAAGGGAATCGATAAGTTGCCGCAGCTCCTTAACGGTTTCAGCTGTCAGTAGTTGGTTGGCGTTTCCGATCAAAGTATTGACCTCCTTGACAAACTCAGCGGTCAGAAGGTCGTTTCCGTTGTTCAACAATGTGGCAATCTGCTTGAACAGGTCATCCGTAAGGAGAGGGCCAAGTTGTTTGATCAATTTCTGGATCTCATCAACAAAGTCAGATGTCAACAGTTTGCCGGCGTTGCTCAACAGACTATTCAACTGCTTGATCAAGTCTTGAGTTAGAAGGCCGGATCCAATATTAATGAGAGACTTGGTCTGTTCCGTAGTCTTGTCGTCAAATAGATAGGCAAAGTGGTGGAAAAATGACTCGACATCCTTAAGGAACGTTGGAGACAGGAGACCAAGGAGGCCCTGGAAACCATTACCAATGTCCGTCAAAGGGTTGCCAGTCACTCCATCAGGGGTGAGATTCTCCCACGGATTACTTGTGGACGACGCTGAAGAGGAAGCAGCAGTTTTGGGAGCGGATCCCTGAGTTGTCGGCTGTTCGGTAGGCGACGGACTACCCTGAGGCTCCGCTGGTGAGGCAGTTGGAGCAGGAGCATTAGATTCCTGCTGGGTAGAAGAATCCGCAACGCCGGTGGGGATTAGGTGTGACAGCAGGCCGCCATCTGTTTGTTGATTGGCATTGGGACTAGGAGACGGCTCTGGGGCGGCGTTCGATTGTGGAGCGACGTTGGCAGTCGGCTGCTGCTGCTCGTCGTTGGCACTTTGGTGCTGGCTGGGCTCAGCAGTTGGCTGCTGGTTGACATTGACGTTCGGTTGTGGACTAGCATTACTATTTGGTTGAGCAGCAGCAGTAGCAGCAGCAGCATTCGCCTCCGCAGCAGTCGGTTCCGCAGCAGCCGGTGTCTGAGCTATGGGATGTTCCTCAGGAGCCCCCTGTGCTGAGGCATTGCCCAGTGCTGAAGAGGGTTGGGCTGGTGTTGCCAGCGAGGTGCTGGAAAGCAAAAGGGCGGAAACTACTGTTGAGAAACGCATGCTGGGTGTATGCTCTCCACAGGGGATGGCCAGCAATTGACGACTTGAGAGCCCGATTCCAGAAATAAGGAGGCTGCATGACCCCTTTTATGTCTGCAGGTGTGCGGGAATCTACTCCATTCTGCCCATAGAGCTACTGGGGACTACTGGAGTAGACCGAGGGCTAGTCAACGATCCCCACATGTGAAGCAAACTGCGTTGCATTGGTTCTCTCCAGCATTGATGTCAGTGGCAGAATATTTTGGGCCCGATCTGCGGGGGAGATGCCCCTTTGGTGTGGGCTTGATACGACATGTTGATCGCTTGCTCCCCTGTCGACCTAGCAGCACCGCTGCAGGGTCGTATAGTTGATGACAAGCGGAGAAGGTGGCGCGATCTGGATTCTGGAGCAAGCTATGCTTGTCGGAGTGAGCTGTGGATCCCCCGGGTGTGTGAGAGGGACAATCGGCCTTGCGGGGAGCAAATGAGAAGCGCGATAAATTGCGAGTTTGCGTGAGAATCTCTCTTCATCCCCAGATATTGCCTCTCACTTTCGGTTCTGCCTCGGCGATCGACAAGCGCACTTGTTTTCCTGAACCAAGCGAGAATTTGACAATCATCGGGTTTCTCCAATTGACTTGTTGGTTTCCGAAGAAAAGAAGTTCCCTGATTGGGTGCACGGAGCCGTGATAGCAGTTAGTCCCTGACTAGAGTGCATGCCATTGAGGTACGGGCCCAGGCAGACCCTCCTCGAGTACGCCGAGCAGCGGTGAATTGTGGACAACCCACACGGTCCGTAATTATTACTATCGTGTATTAGCTAAGTTAGCTCATACGTACTTCCTTGGTTGGGGTTATTTGCTATACTAACTACTTCGAAAGAGGATTTTCAGGCGCTCTTCTTGCGGGGAACGGAGCAATGCCCCTGAGAGGAAATGCTCGGGAAGATAACGTTCCCAATTGTGGGGGTTGCTGTTCACCCACAATTGTTCACTTGGCATGGGGAAGTAAGTCTGGTATCTGAACTCAACCGACTGCGGTAGGACGCAGGACTCGAGGACGAGAAAATCATGCACGGGAGGTGCGGCTTTCTTTGCTCGGAGATTGAGCTCGGTAGCATGTGAAGTTAGCTTCCATCGTGAGTCAATAAGCGCACGAGCAGGTGGAAGAAGTCGCGCCTCTGTGGGCTTCCTTGTTGGGGTTAATTTATTTTAGCTTGGTGATCGACAGTGGCCATTACGCGGGGTTTGCCTCTTGGTTCCTTTTTTCTCGTCCACCAAAAAGTCTTGTTTTTCGCTTGGGCAGGGGTCTTCGAACTCGACCGAGCCATTCTCTAGTTGGGATCCTTTTCTCCATCCCCGTATATTCATGCTCCACTAACGTACGCGAAGGGATCCACGGCTCCGATAATGAAAGGTGAACATCGAAAAATTTTTTAATTCGGTCTTCGTCTCTTTCCATTTTGCGCCCAGCAAATCTAGTTTTTCAGACTTCTCGAAAAACGTATCCAATAATGCGATCATTTGTGGTATGTACATGCATGTCGAGGTTGGTCTTGGCCTGCATACGGTAGTGCCCGTCAAGAGAGTTAGGACTTATCGCACTGCTTACCAACTAGAGGAAAGTGTCTTGTCCAAGCTTCACTTTGCCCCAATACGATTCATTCACGTAAATTGCTGGAGATCACGCGTGTGCCACTGGATCTCTCCAAGGATCAAGGCGGTTTCTTGGCTTCCTCGTAGCACCGGTCACAACTGCTTCAACCGTCTTTTGGGCATCAAATGACAGATTATGTCATTCTTGACATTGGATAAATTGTGATCCGCACAGGTAACCAAAGTCCAAGGATAGATCTCCGAGACATTGAAGCGGGGAATGAACCGGAACCCTCGGCAGTATGTACCTGGGAAAGTGGAGGGGAAACAGAAGGTTCCTTCCAACTTTCTGGTTCTCGTTACTATTTTTTGTTCAAGTCACTTGACAGGGGTGCAGCCTAAGGTTTCCTTCCGTCTCTACTAGCCTTGGATCGAGATATTCGAGTATGCCGCCGTAATTAATATCAACAAGGTACAACAACGCCACGGGAAAGCTTCGGCCTGCTTCTGCCTTAAGAGGTCCCCTTTGGCGCCCGTTCGCGATGTTTACGCTTCAAATATCAGACCAGGCACAACTTGAGGTCCGAGGATGAGGCTGAAGCTCCCTAGCCCCATTTCTCACCTCAACCTGACAACCATAACTTAGGCTAACTAGTTTACTAAACGACGACTAATTGATATTAGTCAGTTGCTTATCCTTCGGCAGAAAAGACAGCAAAAAGTTTTCGCCGCCGCCCCTTATCCGAGAGAAGATCCCTTCCCATATTCGATTCATCTACGTACGCTGACTACGGAAGACTAGGCCTTTCTATTTAACAGGGATTTCTGCACCTGCGAAAATTTCTAGTCCACACGGAAGACCATGTCTCCATATCTACGCAATATAATTGCAATGTCCACACTGACCAGATAAGAAGGTTACATCAAGGACATTAGATGCATCATGCATCTCAAAAGACCCCCCTTTATCCTTTCTGTGACTATCTAGTTTTCCTTAAGGATATCGTATGGCATACCCTACCATGAATTCTAGTCAATATAAGCCCAACCAAATCCAGGAGTATACCCGATGGAAGTGCGCACGAGCGCCAAATTTTTGGTCCGTTGCTGCTAGGTTAAATTAAGATAGCGAAACAACGATACCAACTAGTTTGCCTACTCTAAATGTTAAGAATTTGCTAGCTAGTTCCACTCGTTTTTCTCTTTTTCCTGGTGCTCTCATTGTTGTCGTTCCTATTCCATTCCCAATGTTGGAACCATGCTGATCCCAAGTATAAGACTTTTCTAGATCCTAAATAGTCTACGGAGTACCTACCTAGTGCAGAGTTTGGTTATCGTTGGGACAATATAATCAACGTGCAGAAATTAGTACAGAAAAACTTTTAACACCCCGAAGTACAACCGACTTTTAGCCATGTGTACTCTGTACTCTGTAGTCCTGAATCTTTCTGGTACGCTTGATTCAAACAGGGGCATATGTTAATGCCGATAGATGCTAGTCGCAAAATTTTCTTCTTGCCTTTTTTCTCTTCCTAAGTTCAATATCCTATCCTGGTGGCTTGTTGCGCAGTTGTTGTAAAGGTGTGACGCTATCTGCAAACATTCGATAGTCACATGTAGAGCCATGCTCCAAGGTGATCATTCACTAACAAATTATATATATTGGCAGAAACCAATTCATTGGTACGAGGCGAGAGTCAAACATTGTATGTTTTTATGGACACGTGACTCTTCTCAACCCTAAGAAAAAGTATCTTTATGACGGCTTTTCGCTGTTATCCATCATCTCTTCAAATTTACTAGCGGTTCATTCAATTATCTGATTGAAGTGTAACTTCTTAAGGTACGTTTTATTACGTGCTATAACCTCAAGGTCTTTTGACCTCTTCTGATCTCACCTCCTTGACCCATAATCCGAGCACCAGGATTGGAAACGACATAGTGACGACCCATATGTCAGCAACAGTCATACCGCACCATCGTACACCGCTGGCGTTATTCAGAGGCTCCATAAATGCCACACCACTGGCTTCTATCCAACAATGTGCCGGATTCATCGCTGTCGATGCCGCACCTGACAGGGTCAAATTGTTGAACTGTGTACACACGCTCTAGCTGCCGAATGATTGTCAAAAAGCGGAATGACATGGATGCGGCTGAGGGTGTGCAAACTTTCATCGTCCATTCATAGGATACCAGGTTGATTTCTGCAAGGAAGAAAGTATAAAGCTAAGTTGACTTGGAGACGAGCAAATTTTGAAGAAATCCATGAGGCCTTGCGTCTTTTTATGCATATGATGGGGCGGTGGCCGTTTCAATGTTGAGTCTATGAGCAGGGATCTGACGTTAGGGTTCTTTTTATCTCTCCTCGAAAAGGTTTACCATCAACGGATGAGAGGTAAAAAGGAATCCGAGCATTTCTCGCTTTATGGCTTCTCTCTCTGTTTCTCTCTCTCTCTTCCACTGCTGTTCCCTCTTTCTTGATGCCTTGAAGCCCCAAAATCCCTTCGCTAGTGGTACCAGACTTGCATAATTATTGTCGACACTCATAATTAAAAATAAGCCTCTAGGTACGATTTGCCATCCTCGTCTCTCGGAGACACTCATATTGAAGACCTCCAGTCTTGCCCTGAAAAAAGCTGAACTCACTGATGAAATACTGGCCAAATATCCCATCGGTCTCGCGACCAAAGTATACATGCCGCCTATTGCGGGCATATATAATTTGCTGTGACTCTTGCTGCAGTGGATCCATGGATACAGCTTGTGGTTGTCGCTCCCGCCAACGATGTGACTGAAGAGCAACAAGCGTTGAGTTTCTTGGTTATCAAGCCGTGCAGTGGCAAAGAAGCAAGTGGATACCTTGAGCAGAAAGACCACTGCAAAGGTGATTATAATATCGAAATATGTGGGCAAGTCGTTGATGTATGCAATCACCGCGCGAGTGATAGAGAGGGCGGAAAAGCACCGCGGAGTTTGCTATTTCCTCCAATTCCAAAGCCACATCAGGAGCTCGAGGTTTAGCATAGCTTTATCTGGCCCACACAGAGCAGGCGAATAGAGGTAAAAATGATATTGTATGCCAACAACTTTGCGCGGATAGTTCCCGACATAAGCGTTTTGGTTGAATTTGTCACCCATTCAGCACGAAGGCCATCCAAAGCGATGCTAACTAACCGTCGCACCTGGGGAATATCTGCACCCGAAAGCGGCCTACCAACGTCGACACTGAAAAGGTCATAGACATTGGCGCAGATACCCCAGCATAAGACCTGGCGTACCAGTCGTGCATCGTCCTCAATAGCATGGATATGGATCAAGAGCTTCTACGCATCTCTACCAGTCCCAGATCCTCTGGTCATTGAGGGTCTGCCATATGCCACGAAGGATTGACGGTCACCGACATAGACCAGCAGGTAGAAACGTGTGCTTTACATGGAGAATGCAATCGAGTGCCCGAGAGGATTGGGTCGCCTAGCTTCGGATCCTTGATTTGTTCTGTGTAGTGATGTTTACGAATTTCAAGTGGTATGCTAGAAGTTTGTCAGGCTGAAGTCGGCTATCTATAATATGTGCCCTATACTATGACCAATGCTCTCCCCGGCTGTTCTGCTCGTTTGTTCATTCTCTTCTAGTAGCATCGCAAGATATATTATCTTATTATTTTTCTTTCTTTCTTTTGGTCACGACAACGATCGCTGTTAAGCTTTGCTCCTTAAGAACAGCAAGAACTTCAAACGTTACCAAGCTCACTTGGCCCTAGAACAGATATCATGGCCGGTCGAGCAAAGCAAAAGTGAAATAACACTTCTATCAACAAATGGCGCCTATTCGCTACCTTTATCAGTTGTGCCGTGGTAGGCACCAGTAACGAGGCCTATAGCCTGAATTTTGGTGTCAAGGATTGCTGAACAGAAAGCTCCCAGTTTGGCAGGTATTAATCCCATATGTATGCACTGAGTCTATTCCTCCATAGTCAAGCACACTGTCATCCAATAGCACTGTGAGCAGTTCGACCTATCAACTACAGTTGTTTCTTTGATTTTTGTGACACTCTTGATCGGATACCTGGTTGCGACTATCCTTGTGGGCAGGGTCCACATGACCTTTGGCCAGAGATGTATTGTGATGATAGGTCCCCTCTGCCATATCATTCCATTCATCGATATGGCGACTCACCCTCTGTACCCCCGTCATGCTGGTTATCTACATGGTGGTGGTGCCCATGTTCTGGAAAGAAGATGCGGCCAGCTTCCGTATCAACAACGCCAGCGGTCCTAACAATGGTGGGGGAAACATGTCTGTAGAGACTATGAAGAGCTCCATTATCTAGATGAAGTCCATTTGGCTCCTTATCTACATGGGCGTACAAAGTGACCCCCTCCTCCAAGCTTAATCTCCGGCAACGTTGGACGAACATATTGGCAATGTGCGTGGGTGGATCGTCGAGTCTATGGTTCATGTTCATCACGGAGACACATACGAGTCTGGTCTGATTCCCACTGGCTTTTGGGCTGGAGTTACGCTCAGGAAGTTTGTCCTTGGCTTTGTGAATGATTGGATAAACATGTCATACCAGTCCTAAAGGTTGCATAGGCAAGTGCGAACTGTGACTTAAGGAGAGCACATCACTATTCAGTTCATCTCGCCATTTTAATTGCCCTTGAGCACATATTTGGGTTGGTGGCGATATTTATCGCGTCTGCAAATGCAGTTCCCTTGTTTGGCTTCTTTACTGGTCCTCTCTTTTCACGGGCAATTGTAGTGGCTATCAAATTGCTCCCTAAGCATTGACATACTATCCGTGACATGTCTCGTGTTGGTATTGGCTGGCTGTGGTGCCGCAGTATGTTGACTCTCTTCATCCAGTAATTGCACAAGTAGAAGATCTGTGACCATTCGCTACCCATTGATCCGTGTATAGACTTCCATTCGTTGCTGGTGCTATCACTGGAGCCCGCGGCGTACAGAGCCTGCAGCCTTTAGTTCTCGCGCTACTAGTCGCCTTGATTGTTGTATGGCTACTAGTTCCACGGGGGAAGGATTAACCTCACGATACCTGGTATCATAGGTCCAATTTCTGTATCGCATACTAGAGATGAAGGAAACTGATACAGTGGTTGGAGAGCCTTGCGAATAACACCAGGGAAGGGACAGTAATGTCTACTTTCCATACATATGACCTTGCAGTAAAAGTTGGTTTCCTTATCCAGGGTTCAACAACATCAGCTTCGAAACCGTACGTGGCAAGCATTATTCAATTCATAGAAAAGTTTCATTAGCGTAGCAATATACGAAGGATATATATTCACGGCGAACTAGATGATTTTGCAAAATTAGTATACTTCCGAAGAGTTATCGTCTATGGGTATAGAGACTTGTATCACGGACAGTATCAGCCAGCGACAACGTATCAGCCGTAAATGTCCATTCAAACCCGTATAAATTTCACACTATGAGCCGCTGCTTCTCGTACTCGGACCAATCCAGGCTCTGTAACGGAAAACCACGCCTCCAGAATGGCAAGAATACTCTGTCCCAGAGATGGCTGAACCTCTAATATCCTTAGCCAGATGATGATGTCAGCCACCTTCTACAACTAGACTTCCACCCTTGTCGATATCAATCGAATCATGATGAATCTTTACTAGAATCCAATCGACGATGCCATACCGAAGGAGGCCCGTGTATTATTCCAGTCCACGAATCGTCGCCAACCGCGAAACAAACGTCACCATGGAGTTTTCTCGAAAGCGAACACAATCACCCCGTCATCGAGGTACTGAACGAGTTCCCATGACCACAGACTCAAGCTGGCGATTGGACTCCTGTGGCTGCATCGACTGCATGTCATTCCATACCACTAACAATCCTTCAGGGTGGCAGTCAGAGAAGCTCTGTCGTCGTCCATAGACTGTGCTCGTTTGAGCGCATGACATTGGTTAGAATAACGGCTCGAGCAACAGGCTACCTCTCAACAGTCTGTCCACAAATTAGTGACAGCTGAGCCTGTTGTAAAGTTCGCGCGTCGTGACTCGATGGTCCCTGTGGAAGCGAGAGCTTAGCTTCATCGCAATGACACCATTATGCAGCGTAACGAACTGCGTCGCCATACTGATACCACAGTCTTTGAGAAATGCGCCGAAAGCGTCACGTGGAAGTTTAATTGTTGGCTGGAAGGGACAACCAAGGCGTTGTGAGCTCAGTTGAGGAACTTTTATCAGCTCTAGGCATCTCGCAGTGATACATGTTGATCTGCGAGTGGTGATCTGCGCGGGCTAATCCAGCTAAGTCCAGGGATAGGTGGCGTATGCTCAAGTCTTGCAATGAGTATAGGTTGAGATGGTGGTGGCTCCAGAATCAATTGAATTTATGGGGCCAAGGAAGTACTTCTAAGCGATCGAGGGGCTGCATGATATGCCACTATACATTTGATGATTGGTGAGCGTATCAAGATTTCAGGCGTCTCTTAAGCCTATCACGTGCGTGAGTTTTTGCTTTGTCAATTACAGGAAGTATCAAGGCTGTTCAGGTTGAGGTTTACTCCGTAATACCGTATGTAGTACTCAGTACTCAATATATATTCCTCACGTTTTAGGGTTGGAGAAAATTAAGTAATACATGCCCACAGGTAAAATACTGGAATTCTTCATCCCGCATTAATTCTACCAAATTCTCTAACGTACTTCTCTCTAATTTTTCTTTCGTCCATGTCCATCTATGCTTAACAACTTATGTCATGGTTGTACTGCAGAAACCCCGCCACAATACCGGCGTGGCTGATGTGGCAACGTGACAGAGGCGCAGTAGTCGGCCATCTCCGAAAAAGGGATATCTTTAGTCGCTACCAGGTCATATGCGGTGCTCGTACGCACTTACGGAGGTGACACTCTTTCTCATAGGAGGTTAATTCTCCCGAGTCATAGTCAAGCAACTTTATAGGCGCTACGCCCTACTTTGCTATGGAAGGGCGACAAATAACGGTCAAATTTAGTTGCAGTGTGTCGCAAAAGCGTGGTCCAAGCTGACGACGCTGGTTGCCTTGCTGCACAAGAGTTATTTACTTCCTAGGCTGCTCCTGTCGGATGCCGATTCCAACCGAGAATGCGAAACGGTCTGGCATCATCTGTCAATTTTTCGCCACAGCTTGTGAGTGCTCTCCGTGCGTTGAACCCGTTGCTGGGCGCGTGCTGATACCGTAGCAGCATGTCATTATCTGACCTCAACCCATCGCCTTTCAGGTGCAATGTTTCTGCCTGTCCTGTTGAGTCGTCTGTGGGGAACTGTGCGACAGGCTAGTGGGTTCTATTTGATGGCAGATATCAAAAATTTTTGCTCTCAACCCTTTTCAGCCTAACCCGGTGTGGTCGAATCCCACCTACCCCCAGACGTTTCCGCGTCCGCGTGCAGCAGATCATGGGGTCTATTGACTGAAAGGAGCAGTACCCGGCATCCAGGATATTTACCTACTTACCAACCCGGGCCTTACAGCTCCGCTCACTGCAGGAGGACGAACTAACCGGACGAGCCCTACTTAATACGGAGTAGGTATGTGGTGCAGCACTGACCCAGGGAAAAACGCGAGTAAAGCATGGGTGCAGATCGGAACATAAAAGAGAAGAAAAGAGAACTGACGGAAGTGCAACCGGACAACCCTCCTTTTTCTCCCGTGCTTGTAACGGAATGGCATCTTACGAGTGCAGACGGTAGTTCGAATGACTTCCACATCTAGTAAAGTCTAGATACAACCGTGAACGAAGCTCAGTCCAATGGTAGGTCGTAACAGGGATCTCAGGTGCAGCGCAGTGAGCCGGACTCTGTCGCCATCAGCGAATCTGAGGCCTGAACAGGCACCCTTCCAGCTTCCGAAGATTTGTTAGGCCCTTTAGCTCGCCCCACGAGGACTCGACCCGCGATTCATCAGGTGAGATACTGGGAATTTTGTTTTTATTTTCACAGTCAATTATAAATTTCCCCCTTATGCATTTTACCCTTTCTTTTCCTCATTGAACGTCAAATGTGGAACGAGACATGGCGGAAGACGGGGAAAATGGGAGGGACAAAGAAAGAGGACGATGGTCAAAGGGCTGTTTTAAGCTACTGGATATGGCAGGGCTCATCCCGCTTTGTAGTACAGATGGAGAGGTCATTTCATTCATGATTGTTTGGGAATTAGGTTGAGGGGCATGGGTTTGGATTCGCCTAGAACCACGGATGATACACAGGTCTCCCATGGTCGAGTTGCAGTAGGCAAAGTAGACTCCTGGCGAGCATCCATGCAGTCTGCAAGGTAAGATACTCTCTGTACCATGCTCACAGAAGGACAGGTGCAGGTATGTACCATATGCGATTCTACACATGTACTTTGTGTACGGTACGGATTAGGCCTTTGGGCAATTGTTGTGCGGACTGGTCAAAGCTCTGTGGAGTCTTTCTTCGGGCCCTTTTGGTCCGGAGACGACGTCATCCTGTTTTTGTTGCAGCAGGTTGAAGAAACATTTCTTTTGTTGTTTATTTTCTATTTCCTTCTCCCTGCTTTCTTGCTTCATTGAAGCGAGTTTTATATACCGTATGAAAGGCGGACTTTTGCGTGAGGGTAAGAAACAAACCCTAATGCACGGCTGTAACAAGTGGCAGATAGACTTTTCGGCGAATTTCTCCGCTTCCCTTTCCCTTCAATTCTTTTAAGAGTATTATTCTGGCCTGAGGTACTTGTTTTCTTTTCTTTTTCTTTGTTCCCCCCCTTTTGTTTCTATACATCTTAATCATTGAATTTATCATCTGTACCTTTTTACTTTTTTTTTTTTTACTTTTTTATTTTTCCTAAATTCTTATTATTTCGTTCGCTTATCGTCTGTATGACTCTCAAGGCTTTGCGTCATTCACAACGCTTGCCTTCGGATGTACTATTAAGTTTGAATTTCAGCAGAAGGGCTATACTTGGAAATGCACATCCCAGCTGAGCATAAGCGACTAACTTGTATCCACCGGTGGCGGAGACTGTTCACCAAAACGAGTATCGGATGATCTTCACACACCAAGATGGAAGTGGGGTGGTCCTCGGTGGGAAATGCCGAGTTTCGTTCAGCGGAATGTTCAAAGGGACAGCTGAAACAGGTAGAGTTAAGACGATTTTATATGACGGTTTTTGTATTTTCCTCCTAGTCACTTTAACGCTGGACGACCAGAACCATCGACTCCCTGGAATATGATATCTGATGTTGGTGACCGTTACATAGGACATCCTTAGTCAGATCTGAACAAAGATGCATTTCACCCAAAAAGTGGGTCTGCATTGGGGCTTAGCCAACCCTCCTGCGATTGGTATGTTTTCTTTACCACATTCAGTCCTTACCTCGTATGGACGGAGTACATCTGTCGGTATGTATGTACAGGATACCTACAGCATACATGAATTCATACATTGCACCATACCCGACTTCGGTACAATCTGCAACTTCTACCAAGAGGGTGGTAGCGACAGCCCAAATCTGGATGGCTTATTTGGCGCCCAAAGGTTACAACAGTAGTCTCTACAATGTCTTTCAAATTCAATCCTAGAGCATGTCGGCTGTCGTATCTGTGTGACGTTTCCGGCGTTGGGAAGCAGGCCACATCCGGACATATTTCCTCTCTTGATAGAATTTAAATCATACATCCATGCATACATGCATACATACATTGAGTATTGTACAGTCACACACATTGACACTTCTATTGGACCCATCCACTTGATCTTTGACACACTTGACAATGTATACTGGACTGAAAATAAATACAATATAAATAATAGCACTGAATCGAAACTAATCACAAACTAAAAGAACAGACTTTCCAGCCAAGACTTGGGTGGAAACTAGATGCGAGTTCCAATCGTCTGACGGACGTGGGAACCATTCGAAACTTCCCAAATCAGGTCCGCCTCAGCCACACTGTGTCTTTTGGCGCTTCGGATCAAGGCCCTGAAAAGGGTCTTCTGCTGGATTGTCGTTGCGCGTGCTGGAAGTATGTATTGTACTGATAGATTACCTGCTGTACTGCGTAAAATAACTGGGACTGACATGTTTCTGGGTCAATCCATCCATCAACTCTCAACTGCCAGGCTCCACTTTTTGCGACGATTCTGGACACATGCATGCTGCTAACGCCCTAAACTCCAGCGCGAAGGAGGGTACCAGCTGAGATCGGACGGTGAATCCGGAGAGTGGCTACATTTTGTGCTTCTGTGTGTATGTATGGACTCGTTCCATACGATCGGGTTTTCATGTCTGCATGAGAAAATCGCCGGGCATCATAGCACCTATACGCTCAGACCAGGTAAGCAAGTCGTAGAGTACGGATACTCCGTAGACTGAAACGAGAAAAAAAAGGCTCTTGCATTTCTGTAGAAAGTATATCAACAGATAAGTGGTGATTCATGATTATTCCTGTTGGTTTTTTTTTTTTTTTTTTTTACATGATAGAGAGGGTTACTCTATTCTTCTTAAATTCCTTTTATTTTCTTACCATTTGTCTTTGCCCTTAGTGAGACCCTGTATAATAAATTTGAAAAGCAACTCCATTAATACACCCTATAATATATTTTTTTTTCTGATCTCTCTTGTGTTCAGAATCACTGACGGTCACCCTCTTCTCTTTCCCATTCGGGTCAGCCCTCTCCCGCCCCTCCTCGACGCTTCTCTCTTCGCCCTCTCTCTCTCTCTCTCTCTCTCTCTTACGCTCTCTTTTCTCGACCTCTGCGTCTCGCCTCTTCTTCCCCTCCATTCTCGTTACCGCTCTACAAAAAAACTTTCTTTCATTTACATTCTTTACTTTTGTCATTTTCTCTTCCCTTCTGCGCGTTCGCCCACACAGTAATTTGGACCTCTCTACTTCCCATATCTTCCCATCCCACTCCACTGTGACCAGTACTGTGGGTTTCCTTACTATATATCTTGACAGACGGTCTCCATCTACCCGGTCAGGCGCTAGTCCAATTTTTCGTCCGTCAAGACACTAGAGACCGCTCTCAACTAGGTATCCCACCTTACCGCTGGAGTCATCTACTATATCAGAGAACCACTTACTGTGGGCGGATGTCGCCTTTATGAACGTTGTGCCTTCTTTTTTCATTTCTTTATTATAGCTCTGCCAGTCTCTTGTTATTTCATTTTATTCAATATAGTATCATCATCGCAGGGTCGCAATGCCGACGGTCCTGCTACCGTCATCGGCCGCTGCCTTTGCGCCGCGGTCTTCACCGAATGTGGTGTTGAACACCAAAATCGAGCCATGGCTGACAACGACATTGAAACGAGTCAGCCGAGTCAAGCGACCTTTAAACAATGTGACGCAACATACGAAGTGTCTAACGGAAACCTTGTCCTCGCCAAACGCTATCTGGACCCTGTGCTCCATGATGTTCCCCAAGGCCCCCGAAGCAGAGCTCCGAAGGGACGAGAACCCATGGGTGGAGGCGTTCTTCAACTACCAGATGATCCATGTCGAGGCATATGTGGTGCATGTTGATATGGTATCTCGAAACGAGGTCGCATTCAAACTGACTCCGGAAACAATCGAAGCTTTGGTCGACTTTCACAAGGAGATTTACTCCGTTGACACAGCCGCAAGTACCTGGGACTGGTCTGAGAAGGAGAGCCAGTTGAAGAAATTACAGGAGGAGTTTGTCCAGGCTGCCAACAAGTTCGTCTATCGCACCAGCGCGCAGGCACTGGAAGGACTGGAGGAGGACGGTGCAGGTGAGCTGCTTGGGGGCCGGGGTGAGGAAGCAAAGTCCGCGATCACCAGCCTGTTCGTTCCGTTGCTTCCTCCCCCTCCACCCGTGGTCGACGTGCTTCGTTCGACACCTGTTCTCCCCAGTTCCACCGGGCCAGAGACATGGTGGCACGACCCTATGCAGCAACCTGTGTCGATGGATACGTGGAAAGTACTGCCATCCAGCCCAGCCACGGCCAGTACAGGAGATTCTAATCCGAATATATGGACCAGCCTGAACAACATGAATGAGTTCTCGTATGCTTCTCCGACACCGTCCTACAGCCAACCGTACACCACTGCTCCTTACAATGCGACGCAGTATTATAGCACCGCTGCCACGTCCGCTGCACTTGCCGCGCTCCCATTGCCAAGCATGTTGGTACAGCCCTGCAGCACAGCGGCGAATATGCTCGGGTTTGGGTGGGGGGATCGATACCAAGACTTTGCGCTGCCGTACGGGACAACCATGTAATACGCCCATGGAACCATACACTTGACGTTGATGGTCTCCCTGACTTCGCGTATTTTTGGTTTAGATCCCAGAGTCCCTGTCTACAAGCCCCATCTAGCTCGTTTGTACCCTTCGAGCCCGAGATACACCTACCAGAACAACCGGGAGCACTATACCCGCTATACAGACAACAGACTAATTGGCATCAGTGACGGCGTTACCATTGACGATTCTGCGACCATGATACTCCACTTCGTTTGCATGACCATCAAAGAACATAATATCTTCTCTCTTTGCAATTGTGATTACTTTGTGTTTGTTTGTTTTTTTCTTTTTCTTCGAGCCAGCGTTAGCGTTCCGTCTCTCCTTGATTCTTTCGGTTTTGTTCTCTTGCATGAAGAAGCGGCGGGTCGGCTATCTGTTTTGTTTGTTTCATGAGAATATCCCATTGTTCAGATCCCGTTTTATATGTCATGAAAGACCTGGTTAGCCTCGCGGCTTGGGATATGATTTGGATGAGAAACGCTCGCTCTGTTTTCTTTCGTCGCCGCATCCGTCCAAGATAGCTTGATCGATGGTGCTATGGCTGGGCCTAGACGCCTCGTTCTCTGTCCTGGACACCCTCTTTCTGGTACAGGCTGCCAGACTGGTCATCTGCTAGGTCAGATTGAAGAGGTATTGATTGTGGCGCTGCGAGTTACGTTATCGTTACGTTCGCAGGTTTTCTGGCAATACAGACCACGTCGGCGTCGATAGAACAACGGAAGTTGGATTACTCGCTGGCCCGGGAAGGCTGTCCGTGACAGGCGCCCGGTGTTAGCTGAGGACCGTCGGGTCTGTGACCTTGATGGGACTCATTCCTGCGAGTGAGCCAATCTCCCTTGGTCTGTTTGCGCGATGTGGACTGTGTTTGCCTATAGGGTCATCTCCTATCTTCCAGGCTGGGTTCTGAGTACCTGGATAAGCTCGTTCCAACCCCTCTCATTGAGTGAGAGGTGCGGGGCGAGAATCGGATGCTGGTATAGTCTTGCACTTGTTGAGGCCGGTCCCTCGTTCTGTTCTTTTGTCCCTGACTGTCGTTATTGTCGTACGCATTGATCCTTTGAGCATTATGTAACTAGTCTGGATAACATAATTTGAAAAATTGCAGGACTAGCAGAAGTGTATGGTCTCTTTGCTGGTAGATATAGTATGGTACAAATGAACCATCCTAGTATTAATACTCTGTCGTATGATCAGAATTATAATAGCGAACAGTATAATAGTCGTCATGATAGTCATTCTGGACCTGGCTTTTTTCTTGGTTCTGCCGATCACCAATGACGTCACGGTCTGGGGAATCCGCCTTGTCTTCTGTTGCCGGACATCACGGCGACTTTCTGGAACAGGCTGCATGAGTTTTGCTGTTCACTAGTATTTACGTATCTGTATATCCATTGAACGAACTGTGATTTTGAATTGATTAATTACGGACTACTGTTGGTGACAATCAGCCTCACAACTTGCATCAACCCTCGATCGACAGCCCACCTGTCGTACAACCTGAATACGTACATCCAAAACTCCACCGGTGATCAACCTCCCCAAAGAAACCAAATGGCCGCCCTCCAAGAAGCCCTCGAATGCCTCGCCCCAATAACCTGGGACGACGTGCCCACCGACCCTTCCGCCCTTCGCGCCTACATCAACGACCTCTCCACCAAAGCCCACCTCGTCGTCAACTCCGTCCCAGAACCTCCTCCATCAACCACCGCCACTCCTATCCACAACGTCAAACCCTCTCCCGCCAGACTCAACACCTCAGACCCAACCCTCCAATCCCTCCAACAACAATGGAGCAAACCCATCAAGGTCTCCAGCACAAGAGACAACCCCCTCGACCTCCACATCCACAAACTCCCCGGCAACGACGGCAAAGGCCACTGGTTCGGTCGTCGCAGCGTCCACGAGGGCCTCCCATTCTCCACATGGCAGGCGAAGCTGTCGAGCGAGATGACCGAGACGCTGAAGGCGAACCGCAAGCGCATGAAGCACGGCCAGACGCCCGACCAGTCGGTCCGCGGCATCGGGGCCGAGAAGCAGGTCGAGACTATTGAGGTGAAGGATGAGAGTGGGGGGAAAGTGCTGGGCCATGTAACTGTTTTTCATGTTTCGGCGCAGTTTCCGAAGCCGACGACGCCGAGGGATTTTGTTACGATGATTGTTAGTTGGGAGGTTGGGGTTGAGCAAGGGGGACGTTTTTGGATGATGATTTCGAAGCCCGTGGAGCATGCTGATGCGCCGCCTTGTCATGGATATATTCGGGGGCAATATGAGTCTGTGGAGTTTATTAGGGAGATTCCGGTTACGAGGGGAAGTGGTGGTGATGGCCAGGGGTCTGGTAATGGGGAGACGGGGGCGGCTTTGAAAGAGAAGCACGGAGGTGATGTTAAGGTGGACGAGGGGCCTGAGGAGACCAACCCTGTCGAGTGGATTATGGTGACGAGAAGTGACCCTGGAGGTAACATACCTCGGTGGATGGTTGAGAAGGGTACGCCGAAGAGTATCTGTTCGGATGCGGTCAAGTTTCTGGATTGGGCTTGTCGTGATCCCAACGCGTCCGCCGAGCAAGGTATGGACGATGGTCGCATGAGAAGGAGAAACAGCCTACATACGGCTGGCGTGCAGGAAACTGAAGATAGTGAGATCAGCGATTCTGAAATTTCGGATACCGAGGTGGAGCATCATGGTCTCATTGCCAGCTTTGCCTATCTACTCAACGCTGGATTGGAACGATACGCCCCCCAGGCTGTGCTGGACTATATACCCGGCCACTCACGCCATTCATCAGGAGACATGTCTGATGTGACTAAAGAGGACGGAGAGAGAGCGCCCCGATCCAGTGGGGATCCCGCTCCACAAAGGGATGCAATGGAAAAAGATAAGGATGATGCAAAGTCTCAGCTTTCGCAGGACAAAGCGTCCTCGATAAACTCCGGCCTCGCCACCCCAATCGAATCTGGACACCTCGATATCTCCGCTGCGGAGTTGATGAAGATAGAGAAGAAGGACGGCAAGCTAACCTCGCATGAGAAACAGCTTGCTAAGCTAGCTCAGCGTAAACGTGAAGTCGAGACTCACCTGGACCGAGTACGAGAAGACATCAGATCCCTCCATCTACCATCCCGCGAGGAAGGGTCCAAGAGAGACAAGGCATCTGCAGCTGCATTGGCGGCCGCCGACGCTAGCAGTGACAGCAGCAACCAGCGCCAATCGTCAGAACTCCGCTCGTCGAGCAGTCCTAACTTAGCTCATCTTCCAAGCAGTCGCGACACAGCGAAGATGCACAAGGTCGCCTCGGGCTTATTCAACGAGGAAACCAAGCTCCTCAAGCAGCTGGGGAAGATCGAGAGGCATCAGCTCAAGGAGGCATCAAAGATTGAGTCTAAACAGCGCAAGCAAGCAGACCATGAAGAAAAAACGAAGTCTCGAACGGAGATTGAGATCTTGCGCCACGAGAACGACCATCTGAGGAAAGAACTAGAGCGGCTTAGGAATGAGCGACGACAATGGCTCGAGCTGATCGCGTCCTTGCAAACTGAGAACACCCACTTGGCGGCGGCAGCTGGAAAAACGGAAAAGTGATGTTATGTTGGAAGCTTGATGTGTACATGTAGTTTTTGGTATACGGACGATCTTGCATGGCTATGTTTCGCATATGTATGAGTTGTTTTATTCGGACACCCTGTGGATGCATGCCCAGTCCTTTCACTAAAAGCATGGAACCGACGTTCTCGAATCATTATAGTACATGGTGATAAATCAACAAAAGTCAGCCCAGAGCGTACAACTGATAAGCCCAGTTCATCCCACCGAGCCGTCTAAGATACTCCGTAACTCCCAAGCGACCAAGCGCAACAGTAAACGGACCGCATGTCAGTTGGCATCAAGCAGTACCAACCCAGCACCGGCGCTGATAATGAGTTCAACCCGCCAGCCAGCCATCAAGCAGAGTCCTCGCCTCAGAGAAAGCATTATCGTCCGTAAACCTCGACAATCATAATAAGACTATAGCTGATAGTCACCCGTCGCAATCAATTCACTCCTGCGTCTAAAACCCCAACAATCAGCACTCACTCACTCACATACAATCCCTCTTACTCCATATCCCTCTACCCCCTAAAAAAGGGAGGGAGAGAAAAAGAGAGAGAGAAATACGAGAAAACTCACCTCAGGCGGATTCCCAGCCCCCCTCACCATCTTCTCGATAAACATCGCGCGCACCTTCTCCTTCGGCTCGCCCATGCCAACAGCCATATATGACAGCATCGGCGGATGCCCAATATACGAAGCGTAGCTATCCCGGATTATGTTCGACGTCCATTCGTACTTGGTCGTGTCCGCGTGGCCCGTTCCCACGTACCGCGCCTGCATGGCCTCGAGGTTCTGGAGCGTGCGCAGCTTGTCGGCCATTTTGGGCGATTCTGTCCGGTGGTAATATCTGGGAGTTGGAGGTGAGGGTGGTGGGGCGGTTGTAAGTTGTTCTGGACTTGGTTGGTGGTTTGGTGAGGCTATGGGTTTATCGTGATAGCTTTCTTTTATCGGCGGATTTATGTCTGGGTACTATGAAATCACGTGATAAAGATATATATAAGAGATTTTGTGGGGTATGATTGTATCGTGTGGTATTGTGACGGGGTCTTTCATTCTTTCTCTGTTACTCTTTAGAATTTGGTTATAGAATAAGAGAATCTGCATCCGGATATGGAGGAGTCAGGCACAAAACCGCCGTTGGCATGTCGGATTGCGCGTCTGGTGCATGCGCATTTCGATGGCTTGCCTGCGCGCAGTAAGCCCAGTATTCGGCCTGATGGGACCAGGGAGTGGATTCCTATGTCGGGCATTGTGATTGTGAAGGGTATGTAGTTTCTTTCACTATTTTTTTTTTCTTTATATTTGTTTGGAATTGTATCTTCTTGGTGTTTTATTCGCTGTGCTTGCTTCGTGATGTATAATATGTAGTATGGCGAGGATCTAACAATGCCGATCTATCAGGGGAAGGTACACCAGATGAAGAATTGACTTGTGTGGCTGTTACGTAAGTTTCCACTTCTATCTCACTGAGATACAAACGAAGAAGAAAAAAAAGGTAGAACTACCACTAACGAGAAGCAGATCCGGCGCAAAATGTCTCTCAGCGTCCCAAGTCCCCCAAAGCAAAGGACTAGTGCTCCACGACTGGCACGCTGAGATCCTTGCTCTCCGCGCATTCAATCACTGGCTGTTATGCGAGTGTCGGAGTTTCATTGCCCAGGAACGGGCCTCATCTGAGAACGATATAGCAACTGAGAAGAAAGAGGATCAGAAAGAGAAAGAGAAAAAGCCATGTTCTCCATATATCCGACGACGAAAAGATTCAGCGGTAACGTTGCCGCCGTTTGAGCTCAACCCGGATCTGAAAATCTACATGTACTGCACCTGTGCGCCATGCGGAGACGCTAGCATGGAACTCTGCATGGCGGCGCAGGAGGACCCAACGCCGTGGGAGGTTCCCACGACGACGCCAGATGGTGAGCACGGCGAGCTTCTAGACGGCAGGGCGCATTTCTCGCGACTGGGGATCGTGCGGCGGAAGCCGTCTCGTGCGGATGCCGAGGCTACGCGGAGCAAGTCGTGCTCGGATAAGTTGGCCTTGAGGCAGGTTTCGTCGCTGTTGTCGTTTGAGAGTAGTCTGCTTGTGGCGACTACGGCGAATGCGTATCTCGAGGGGGTTATTATGCCCGAGGGGGAGATCAGTCGGGTGGGGTGTGAGAGGTGCTTTGGGGAGGATGGGAGGATGGGAGAGCTCAAGGGAAGGGTTTGGTCGCCCGGTGGTGAGGAGGCAGTGGACGAGCGAAGAGATGGCTGGCGGTTTCGACCGTTTAGGATTCTGTCGGTTCCTGCTGGGCTCGTCGAGGAGCTTTGGGCGTTTGGGAAGTCGGATCCCACGGCTGCTTCGAGGAAAAGTAAACCGGCGGTGATTTCTGCTGTTTGGGCGGCGGCTTCGTCGGTGTCGGTTCCTAGTGTGGTGGATAATGGCGCCAAGTCGTTACCTAAATTGGGTGGCTCTCAGACAGGCTTGTATGAGACTATCATCAACGGGGTGAAACAGGGGAATCGGGCGTCGGAGCCCTTGGCACGGGGCGCTTCTGCGTTGTCCAGGGCGAGGCTATGGGGCCTATCTAAAGAGATTGTGCAATCTTGCGTTGAAGATCAGGATCAGGAATCTGGCATCGAGATCGGTGTGGAGGAAGGGCTGTTGTCCTTGGGACTGGATGTGACAAAGCGGATTACTGAGGCCCCGACATATCGGGAATTCAAGAAAGAACCTACGGTTCTGACAGAGTCACTCCAAGCGCGGAAGAGTGCGATACGAGACGCTAGAAGAGTATTGGGTGGATGGATCCCCAATCCAGGGGACGAGAATTGGGGATTGGAGGTGCTGATTGATCCCAAGAAGCGGAAGCGTTGATCCAATTGATGGAATTTATGGCAATGAATATCATGACCTGGCTCTATATGATGTACATATTAAAAAGTAATAGTTATGAATACATAGAACGAAGCGACTGGAGTGGATCCAGGGTCTAGTCCAAGCACATCACGAACATTTTGGTCCACGTAAACAGAAACATTATTAGGAGACCCCCAACATAGAATACAACGCGCGCGGGATCCGACTAGTAGATACCGGGGACGATGCGGCTGCGGACAAGAGACGTATAGCGGTTCCAATCAAGACCGTACTTCCTCTTGCACTTTTCTTCGTCGCGTCTCTCGCGATGGATAAGCAGGACACCGAAATAGACCAAGAAGAAGTAAGTGTAAATCATTCCCCAGCCACGGACCTCAGGGGTCTGTACAACCTGCTTCTGCACGTCGCCGGTCTGGGTGATGCTTTCGATAATGGTATAACCGGCAAATCCAGTGGGCAGCGAATACGACCACGACATCAGCCAGTCACCCAAGTAATTGATATGACGCGCCATTCCCCACCAGCCGGAAGTCATCAGCTTGGATCCACTGGCCGTCTCAATGTATTTGATATGCTTCACACGGGGGTCATTGGGGTTTGTACGGAAACGGTTCTTCTGGTTGTTGGCGCCACGGAAAATCGAGTATCCCACGCCAGTTACGGCCAAGATAAGTAGGATGCCCTGCAGACCCAACTCCAAGGGGTAAACCGCGAGATACCGAGTTTGGAAATTGTAGACGAATGGGACCCACACCATGTCACCGAAAGAGAGCATGAAACCGAATCCATCCATGATCACGTCCATCGTGGTTAGGACAGCTGGCTCCATATACAAGCCATCCAGAACATAGAAGAGCTGGAATGCGGTGGAAAGAACGATCGAGTCCGTCACATAGCCATACGTTCTGTACTGGCGGGCAATGTTGGACAGGTTCAGTATATTCCACCCAAGCAAACCGGGCCGCATCTCACACCATACTTTTATGTCAATCGTCCGTGAAGCCTCACTGACGAAAGGAATAGGCAACTTCACCCGAGGATTAAGCTCCCGGCCGATGAAGAAATCATACAGGGCATTGCCAGTGTGGCCACCCGGTGCCAATTGTCTAAGTTCGGGGTTGAGTTGACCTGGCGCGGGGACGGAGAAGCTCCTCACATAAACAAAGACCGCAATCGCTGTGCAAATGATCATATTTGCCGTAATGACCTGCACGTAATTATCCCAAAGGAAGGTCCACACGACGAAGTCCGCACCGTCGACGTATGTGCCCAGAGCCAAACCGGCGAGGATTAACACGGCGGTGGGGAAGGCTGTAAATGGGTCAGCCGATATCACTCAAGCATCCAACATCAGATCCATACCATTGAACTTGTATCGAAGTCTTCCTGTGCAGGCTAATTCCGTACCCTCGACCTCGTCGCCGGGTAGGAACACGTTCAAGGCCAGGCTGAGGAGGTAATAGCTCAACACCCACAAGGTCACACGAGCGTCGAAGAACCCTTTAAGTCCATCTTGTGGCCAGTTAACCTCCTTCTTCAATTGATCCAGGGACAAGGTCGACGGATGGAGCAGCGAGGGAGCAGGACAGCCGGATACATCGTTACAAAAGAAGGTGAAAGCGTAGATGAGAGCTGGTAGGAAGGTCACAAATGCAAACGCGCCGGGGCTGTTGGAAGGTCAATTGATAGGTTCCTGGCTGCGACACTCTTGAAACAACATACGGGCCACAGAATTCATAGCCCCGTTTTTCGGGAACGGGCTGTATTGGGACTTTAGTCTTGGTATTCTTCTTGGGCGCCATGATGCGACTGAAATTCGGGACGTCAGAGAATGCGCGATCCAAGGGGTCGCAGATATGCCAGAGAAACCCACAGACAAGACTGTAGAAGAAGTAGGAAGCTGTGGGCTTCTCCAATGGCAGGGCAGCAGGTATTTATCTGTCGGTAGAAGAGTGTTTGTTGTAAAAAGAAGGTCTGTCGTCTGAGTCGGATGTTTGGTGGCCGACGGGGGCCGCGGGCCCTTTTTGCGTTTGTTCCTTTTTGTTCCTTTTGTTTTCTCCGCAGTTCCAGTGGATTGTTGGAGAACCACCACAGATCGAACATCTTACGTATCCTCCTCGGTTCTTATCCTTCGCTCCCCCCATTACTCACTCTCGTTCCAATAATTCCTTCTTTTTCATTTATCCACAATTCACCGGACTTTCTTTCCTTACTAATTTCGTCTGCGGCGATCTCGGTCCTTTTTATTCTATCATTGTTATCGCTATTCATCCCGCATTCGCCCTGCGGGACTTATCTCCCATCATGAAGTCGCTAGCTACGTCGTTGCTTGGGTTCCTCTTCCTTCTCTCAGCACCACATGCTTCCGTTTATGCTGCCTCGGATCCAACAAGCCCAAATGCCTTGCCGCCCTGTGTGGCACGCTCGCCAACCACCGGTTTCTACTATGATCTAAATCCAATCTCTCTATCCCCACCGAAGACGAAGGACGAAAAGCTTCGTGGAAACGTTCGCACTGAGAGCTGGCATGCCAAGGGTCATGACTACCATGCAAACTTCACATTAAACGTGTGCGCTCCGGTGGTGGAGAATATCAAAGATGTGGTGGGAGTCGACCGTGCAAGGTGGCAGAATATTAGTGCATATTATGAGAAGGAGGGCAAGATCTATTCTATCGGGTATGCTTGTGTGCGGGTTGTGACCATTATAACCAGAGAGAAACCAGGCTGACTTGTTCTTAGGCAACAAGCGTCTGAGCCATTGTTCCGGGGTCGCAAGCTGGTCCTGAACTACACTGATGGTTCGCCTTGTGCTGGGGAGCTTATCGGAAATGCCTCGCGCACGAAATCGACGATTATGTCGTTCCTTTGCGATCGTGATGCCCCCGCACATCAGGCAACCGCGTCCTTTGTGGGCACTATGGACCAGTGCACCTACTTCTTTGAAGTCCGAAGCTCTG